ATAAACTGTATTCAGGTTGGAATTCATTCCACACTTATTTTAAAGATGAAATTCATAAGTGTTTTAATAACCATAAACATCATGTTAAATAAGTACGATAAGGTTTTAAAATCACAACGAAACAACGAAAAACATAGCTTAATGAAGAAAGATGATAATTTCTTAAAATTCCTAGATTTTCTTTTAAATAATCTTGTGAAAATATTGAGAATAAAAATAATTTAAGAATAAGAGTTAAAATTATACTCTCGTTGAAGCCTTACATACCTTAGGAGGAATGTTTAATGGAGAATTTTGAAACATGAACCCTAATTTTGATGTTCCATGAAGTTCTTGACTGTAAGATATTAGGGGTGAAAGTGAGGATTTAATTATTTAAAATTGATTTTCTACGCCTTTACGGCTATTTAGGTGGAATATCCATAAAAATAATTAATAAAGAGCTTAAGCCCGGATTTTATTCTGATGGGCAGTGAAGTCCGTATTCACTTCATAATGCAGAGCCATAGTGAAGCTGTTGCAATTGTGGTGTGTCTCTAGTAAATTAATCATAACTTTTTACTCAAAACTCGGATTAATGAAAGATTGGTTGTGCAGTAAAAGGGACTCATAGCTCTTTGATTGAATAGGTTTAGGTCACATAACTCTACATATTCTATGATATATAGGTGTTTGAAGTGTAACATGGTATGTATTAATTCGAAAACTTAGCCCATAGATTTACTTTGAATTTTGCATGCTGTAAGGGTTTCTTATGACCCTAAATCATATTGAAATTCTTTTTACATTTGGTAAGAAAATCTTAAAATATGTCATAAGTAGGAAATCACATGTTTCATGTTTATATACCTACGAAGAAAGATTTAGATTCTAAAAGTAGAGTTGAGGATGTTATACCTACCATGTGTCTTTTTTTGACCTTTGTTATTTCCACTTCTTTGATGCCTAGACATGATACAACCAATCACGCCTAGAGCCTACACCCTAGTGAGACTGGCAGTGTAGAACAATTGTGGGGCCCAAAGCGAACCCTTGGCCTTACTTTAGTTATAGAGTATGATTTAATCACTAATAGAAGGATTCAAATACACTTTAAAAACAACTTACTCAAATTAACTTAGAACTTTTAAGGATAAATATTCAAATTAGCCAAAGTTGCAACTGATATCTTTTTGAAAAACATCTGAAATACAAGACTAAAGAACTCATATCTAACTATATATGATGACTCTAAATATTAAAAGGGATGTCGGGATAAGACCCCTGATCATCATAACAAATGACTAAAGTAATACAATATTGTGGGAGTTTTTCTAACAGTAGGTGAAAACTCAATGTATTTAGGAACTACAACAAATACTCAAATTTACATATAAAGTAATATAATATTGTGGTTTTTCTCTAACCTACAACGATCACTATGACCTAAAAATATGATATAACCTCTCACCGACGATGCTAGAATTGTCCTATACTATGAAATGATATAGAACGCCTCAACTAAGTTGATACACAAGTCTATGCTAAAAAGCACTTAGGAATCATCCAAAAAGTATCAACATTTCTTACCTACGATGGCTACATGGTTTATTGAGACTTGAGTCCCAAAATATACTCAGCTTATATGTTTTAAAATAAAAAAACTTTTACTGTGGTTTGAGGGAATTACTCAAAAACTACCAACGCCTTGTCACTGCCTGCTAGTACCTTGCATGTGTTTGCCCTAAACATGCTAACCTTCAATCCACTCGTGCCATTAGTTGTTTTCTTGCTACTTTTTTTTCTTATTTGTCAATGCTTTAATTTGTCTCATCTCTATTTCCCGCACATGGCCATACTATGTGTTTTTCCCATGCCAAACCAGCCCACAACTGATGCCAGTCAACGTCCATGCCATGCATGGCATGTTGTGTTGCCAACGTCCATGTCATGTCATGACATTGATTTACCAGCATTGTATGACACCACTAATTCATGACAACACATCACCCACATTATACATGATTTCTTCCACCCGCGCTTTGACCCTTCACAAAGTCATTCATGCTAATCCTTTTCTTCAAGCGTACCTATGTCGAGTAACCGGATCAGGACACATACAGTTGTGCACTAGCTGGTAGTTGGAGAAACTCTTTTATCGATAAGATCCTTAAATCATTTGATGTATGCGTGTTAAACCATGTAAGTGGAGAAAATAAATACACATCTTAAATGTCAGTATACTTTATCGAGATTTTGGCAGAGAAACAAATTTATAAGGAAATACAATTCAGGAATTTCTCTTTTAAATATAGTATTATTACCCGGGAAATCTTGAATTATCATAGACCATAGATTTGATGACCTTACTTTTATACTGAATTTTGTATTATATTTAATCTAGTTGTCTTGTCAAAATTTGTTTGTGCTAATTCTATATATTGATAGAAAAGGTTCTCAAAGCAAGCATGTTTGGCTAATTAAGGACCTGTTTTTGTCTTAGTGCATAATAGTCGTAAACTTCGTTTTCACCTTTTTGTTTCACTTTTTGAATACCATGCCTTTCATGTTACAAATATATCATTTGTGTCTCCCATATCTTATTGTCATAGAAAATTCCATGACAATGGCTATTTTTTTAAATTCCTATCGTAGCTAGTCTTTTTGTTGTATATAAACGTACCTTGACTAGGAATGATGAAATTGCATGTCATACTCCAAAAAATTGCTAAAAGAATGAGCGATAAGCTAGAAGCTTATGCAAGTCTTACAAGCCCAAGTAGTTCAACTTTCAAGGTACAATTGTCTACTATTGGCGATAACTTATTCCTCAAAAATGGGTTGAAATAAGTTTTGGACATTCATCTCCTTAACGAAAATAACTTACTCATATTTAATTACATAAGTGCCTCAAGTTTTGATGTTACAATGTTTGATAGTAAATATTGTGTGAGAAAGAATTTTATTTTACCTAAAAAAAAATGTTAGCACACTGATGTTGCATGTGGAAGAAGGACAAAGAGGCCTATAGAAATAAGATGTGATACAACTACTTTTGTGTTTAAGATTTGATTTGCTGAAGAAAGTTGCAATGCCAACTCTTTGTTCTTATTTTTATTTTCATATGCATTCAGTAATGTCATTAATGATATAGAAAATTTCCACTATTTATTTGTTCATCAATAATGACATTATTAAATACAAAAAAATCAAAACAAAGAGTTGGCATTGCAACTTTCTTTAGCAACTCAAGCCTCAGACACTATTAGTTATATCGTTGCTTACTTTTATAGACGTCTTAACCATGCATTCACATGCAACATCTTCATACTCGCATTTTTTTTGTAAAATGAACTTTTTCTTTCTCGCACGAGCTTTGACTATTGAAAATAGAAAACATCAAATCTTAAGGCTCCGATGTACTTGAACACTAATAAGTCGTCTTTCCCTAGGGAATGGCATTAACAAATACTTTGTACCTAATTTTAAGGAAAAGCGTATCACCAATTGTGGTCATTCCTACCGTCCTAGTTCAACCACTTAGACCTATAAGACTTACATAAACGTCTAGTTCATCTCTAAAACTTTTAGCGATTTTCTAGGGCATGAATTATAATTTCATCTCCTATTTAAGATTAATGTATTATGTACAACAAGAAAAGTAGATCAGATAAAAAAAGATCGAATAATAATAGGTTATGTGGACGAGCAATTAAAATATGTAAGAACCCATAATATGTTTATTTTGACCCTTAAATCAGTATAAGTAATATATTATCACATAGAATGTTTGGATTACGTAGTATGTCGAATTGTTTTAGCGAGTACTTTTGATGTTTTTGATGTGATATTGGATATGTTGGATTACTTTTCTAGTTCATTTGGTTATCTTATCTTAATGTATCCTTGCTAATGCCATACATTGACAGAAGAGGTGCTCAAACATGATTTTCAGCAATTATTTTGCTAATCAAGAACTTGGTTTTTGCTCAATATGCAAAGAGTCCTTTACACTTTGTCCTCACGTCTTTGTTACGATGTATTAATACCAATCCATTCATGTGAACGATTTCTCAAATGTGTCCACCATATCTCTCTCTCAATGAATGACAACGAATATGTATTGAACATAGTAGGACTTAGAAGTTTTAAAGGGAATTAGTTTGGCAACCTCTCGCGAACTACAATTATCAGGGAACTACATGCACCAAGGCAAAACAGATCCAAAGAATGACTGAATGTTTTTTCGCTAGTGAGACCTTAGGGTTATCAACAATTTCATTGACCACTAGTACACACCCTTGGGTCTTCACATTAAATCTAGAATAGTACTCTTTATGATGTTTTTATTTCGCCATTACTAAGAGAATATGAAAAATGTAGATGGATTTATAGTTTGTTTGATCAAGCTTTCGAATGGTAAAAAGTATCTATTATACTAAGAAAGATGCTTATTTTTATAAAATAACGTGTGTTATAAAAACATTTTAGAGAAAATAAGTAGTTTTGAAAAGCATTAGTAGAAGAAAAAATATTTCATATGATGATCGTTGATTTTTTTAATGTATATGACTAATTATGAAATAACATATTATTTTTTAAAAAAAAAATGAAATAACTGAATTCTTAATATTATTGGTAATATACAATAATTTATAAATTCACTTATGTCATAAACTAGTCATATAACCAATATTTCTTGATATAAAATTATTTATAAATTTTTATAGAAATCTCAACAAAAATTATTTTAATTGAAATGCCTAGTCAAATTGAACCATTGACGTCCCTATGATTGACGATATAATAAATAAAGTATCAATAAAGATGCATTCTCATGAATTAATAGTTGTAAGGCATTGTCCAAGATCTACTACATAAACCAAAGAATAATTATTAATTAAACATCATTCGAAGAAAAATTCTATTATATAAAAAATAAATATAATACTAGAAATATGCATAGTCTCTCATTATATAAGAGAGAGTTTGCACTGAAGTAGCACGCTTCCGTCGACATACCTTATTTAGAGTGTTTCAAAAAAAATCACAACCTCCTCCTAACATTTCTAATCTTAAATATGGCTTCCACTCTTTTAAAATTATCTTAATCACCTCCCCACCACTACCACTACAACTACCATTTTCCCTCAATTCTACAACACCTTTAGACACATCTCCTGAAGTGGAATTAGTATTCAAATAATTCTGATGAGTTTGAGGTACTATCTTTACCAGTTTATCTGCATTTATGATTTCTAGAATCTTGTGACATTGGCATTGGCAACGGCCGTAGAAACGTCTTTCTTCTGGCTTTTATGCTTTCTCATGATGTATGCTTTTCCGGAGAAACATGCATCTTCTGAATCCATCTGAAATGTCACATGAAAAAATAAAACCCAATTTGGAAACTTAATATTTCTTAAAAGAGTTGAAAACAATTTCAGAGAAGTTGATTGAAAAATCGAAAAATTACGAAAAAAGGAAGAAGAGAAGAATCAAAACTATTACACACTTTTGTAAGTTTTTGATTTTTCAATACGCTTCACTGAAATTGTTTTTTGTTTTGTTTAAACACATAGTTCCCAAATTGGTTTTTTTTTCAGGTTACATTTCAGATGGATTTAGCAGATACACGTTTCTTTGGAAAAGTTTACACCTGGAGAAATCGTAAAACACTGAAGAAAGAAATTTTGTATGGCCATCGTCGCTGCCAATATGTCACCAAGGTTTCAAAAGCCCTAGATGCAGAGATTCCAGTAATGGTAATACCTCAAACTAATTAGAATGTTTTGATTACTAATTCCACCTCATGAGATGTGCCCAAATGCGGCGTAGAATTGAGGGAACTGGTAGTTGTAGTGGTGTGAATTAGGTTACAATAAGTTTAAATGGTTCAAAGTCAATAGGTGAGATTATTAATATTAGGAGGAGGTTAGAGGGTAAGCTATATCATGTTAGGTTAATAGTGAAGAAGATTAGAGTTAAGGAGACTTCGATGTAAAATGGTAACAAAAAACGTATTCTAGTTTTGATTCCTCATCAACCTAGTATCTCTTGTAGAAATCTACAATGTACTAACTATATGATTAATAAATCACCTACTCTTAATTAAAATCATTGGAGTTATAAATTATTTTTTGAAACACGCTGAAAAAGTTACATCGACAGAGGCGTGACTGCTTCACTGCGAACTCTCTCTTATATAACAAGAGAACCTATAGTATGTAGTATTATACTAGCCCGTGTGTTTCTGAATTTGATTAAACTAAGAGGTCCTTTTTTTTTTGCTCTTTGGCATGTTTAAACATCGACGGACTTTAATTAATGGAAGTTTAAATGTTGTGGTGGAAGGATAATTGTTGGGAAGAATATGAGACCTTTCTCTAGAGCTTTACCCAGCTTTGTAATATGGGAATTATGGAGAAAGAATAACAAGATGAAACATAAAGGGAAGCATCACTTGCACGAATCACTCACAATATCACTAGGAACATGTATATGTTGATAAGACTAAGGAAACCCAGTATGCCCTTTCTTATTTAATAGTCTGATATGATGATAGAGTGGAAAAGATACAACTCTAAATTGAAGATGATGAATGTATTATCGAAATTTCCACCAAATGAGTGGGTGAAATATAATACAGATGGAGCCTTTAGGGAAAATTCGTGTCGCAGTTCCTATGCCTTTTGTTTGAGGAATGATAATGGTGATGATAAATATGTTGAATGAGAAAGCATAGAACATACTGCAAATATAGTCGCAGAAGCCAAAGCTATACCAGAGACATGCAAGCATGGTTAACATCACTATACAAGCAAGTTATTATTCAAACTTACTCAATGCTAATGTACAAAGTGCAAGAAGGGAAGTGGGCACGTCCATGCCTCATTGTAGAATTAGTGTCATAAATTCAAGCATGTTTGCCAAAGAAACAATTCATTTCCCATTACATTTTAATAGATGGAAATAAGTTAGCAGATCATTTTGCAAACAGAGCTATTGACAAAGGGATCTGCAAATTCATAAGTTGTAATAGCATGGAGACGGAGGTGAGGAAAATCATCAACAATGATAAACTACTATGTTCGTACTCGAGGATTTCACCTCTAAATGGGATAGGGGCAAGAACAGGCTACAACATAGAATTTTTCATAAGCAACATCAGTAGGAAACAAAAACAAGAAAATTCTATTTAGCTTACATTATTTCACCAACAAAAAGGACTCGAAAAAATGGGGGATATGGAGTCGGGAATGAAATAGTTAAACCTACGAAAAAACAAGCAACACTCTTAAAGGGCAGTGGAATAGAGCTATCCTAGCACTTTGTCACATTAACACATGCAGAACGATAATGAGTAGCTTATAGAGGAAAAGGAAAAGAAAGAAAGGAAGCGAGAGGACCTACCAAATGAAGAGGCTTTCCTCCTTAAGACAAGATCCGAGAGAAAAAAAAACAACAAGCACTACCCATGGAACCTGAGAGCACAACTGAAAAAGAAAAATGAAGTTAAAAGAAAGAATGAAAAGCAGAAGAATGGAAGACAAGCTCAAATAATAAGATACTTACTCTTGATAGTAAATTTATCAACAACCAGGAAACAAATCAACATCATGTTGATGATCCATAGCAAGCGGAATTGGAGAGATGGATTAGTCCAAGGAGGCGAAAATATTTTGGTGAAGAAATGGAAATCAACTAAAGAGAATGAGAAAGCGTCGAGGGGACAAAGAGAAGTGAAGAGGAACCATTTAGAAAATCCTGCTGTGAAAGATATATATATTCATCCATGTTCAGATTGGGTTGGGCCTTGGTGTTATTCGTTGTCTATTATTTATATTTTTTTCAATAATGTGCTAGTGAGGGTTGGACTTTTCCCATGGAAGTGTAAGGTGGTGTAATTATTTTGTAGTGTCATAACTAATAAATCAAAATTTGTCAAAAATATTATTTCGTCAATACAAAGAAAATCTGAAAAAAAATATAGATGGATTTATAGTTTGTTTGACCAACTTATTGATTGGTCATATATTTATTTACTTATAAAAATGATGCTTATTTTTATGAATGAGGCGTTTGACCAAATTATTCTAGAGAAAAATAAGTATTTTTGAAAACCATTTTTAGAAACCTATTTTCAAAACCTAAAGAAACAGTTTTCACCCCAAAAAAGTCTTCTTCTTTTTTTAAATTAGCACTCTTGAGTAAAACTATCGAATCACTTTATAAAAATTGATAAAATACCAATTTTGCTCAAAACGCTTTTTAAATTGATAAGTCAAATAAAATCTATTTTTCACCAAATTCACTAATCACATTATTTGCATTTATATTTTACGAAAAATATAAATAAACTTAACAAGTAAGATCTGAATAATTCAGGTAATCGGACTTCAAACAATGTACTAAATTACTCAATGTCCAAAACAAGATAGCATCTTATTTTCCAGTCCATCAATACATGAAATTATATATAAATATAACACCAGTCAAAATGCAATTCACAATGATCATCAAGCATAAAACAAACTCAATCATCTTGTACACCAATTAACAAACATTGCTTTGATATTTACTAAACATCTCTCATCAAATCAAACGACTTGAATTTTCATGTTTGTTTCCATTTGAAAAATGCATTGTACGTAATATCACACACAATTTTGTTTACTCCTTTTGGGAAAATTACAGTTTTAGTATTGTAAACATCATTAAATCTCATTGAGTGAGATCCAACATTTTTTCCTTCAAAAATACAATTTGTATTCAATAAATGTGGAGTTGTATTAGTAAGACTAACTTGAAAATTATTTGTTGAGCTCAATGATGATATTCTAATAAATTAAAGATTAAGTATGAACATACGTGAAATTTGAAAAGTCGTGATGCATTTATTTCTTTATAACGATTCTATATTTTCTTTGTGTTAATGGAGACTTTATTTATTATTATTTTTTTTTAAAAAAAAACAATCTTTGAATATAGTTAGTATATAATGACTGTTAATATTAAATAATTGATTCTATAGTTTTAGTTTGAAAATATTTTATCTGTAAATTCAGAAAATTGCAATAAATGTGACAATGTAGAAATTTTTTTGTAACTGTGTCAATAAATAAATATATTTAGTCATTTATTTGCACGGATAGACTTATTTTTCATCGATAAATAGTGTTTAAAATTATTAATCATTACAGTAGTTATTTTCCTTACTATGAGAATAGTGCTTAAATTATATTTCTTCCTCTTTTGATAAACAGAATTTATATTATCTTTATTAGTTTGCATTTGAATACAAAATTTTGAAAATCATTTATTTTCAACATCTATGTGTATTAAAATTCTTTATTTACAAATTAATAGTTACATTTTTTTAAAAGATACTAAATTAATCTAATGTACATCAATAAAATAGTGTAAGAAAATTAAATATAATGGTTGTTGCTGGAAAATGGTGATAATTAGTGTTGATGATCGATAGTAATAGCTAAATTAGCAAAAAGACCTCATAAACTCGCTCTTGACTACTTGGTCAAATGACTCGTCCATTCATTAGCTCAAACAATTAATAGAAACTTGACTTCATATATATCAAAATAAAATTTATAATACTTCAAATGGAATCAATAATTAGGTCTAATTAAATTTAAAAACAAAATGATCTCCTAATCTCAAACATAATCCATCTTCTTGTACATTCCAATGAAAAGTATGTGTCCAAATAACAAAATTTACCATCTCTATTATAATAAAAAAGCATGAAAAAAAATTCTATCACCTAAAGTAATGTCACAAAATAAATTATTAAATCATATAACAACAATTGGAACTTCAGTTGAGTATACTTCATTTGGAGCTAATGGATGATCACCAAGATCACTTCCTCTTAAATAGCAATGTGTCTCCACTAAATTTTTATTTGCATTAACAATATTTAATGTTATAAATAGACAAGATTACTGAATTAACTTAAGATGAGTAGAAGATATTAAGTAGGAAAAAAATGACCAAGAGGTTAGATACTTTGGAAGCCATCATGGTATTATTTTTGTGTGTGAGAGTACAATTTATAATTGTATTTTGTGTGATTAAGATTCAGTGTATGTAATTTGATTCTTTTTCTAACCTTTTTTGATATTTATAATTGTAGTTTGTGTGTGTGAGAGCGAGAGTAAATCACCATGGACTTAAAATAGAAGAATAATTATTTTTCAAAATTAGGCACATATTTGTATCACTATTCGTGATCAATTTAATATTTTCCTTAGCATTTTTTTGTAAATGATCTAATACTAGTAAAAGGTTTAACGCTCTTCGTTAATGTACAAATTTATTGCCGCTAAAAATCATTTTTGTTCTTAACAAAAAACATTCTTGAATTTCACCCTCAATTGTTTTTTGTAAAGCTTAAAGATGTTAAGTAGGAAGGTCAATTTTGAATATATTTTTAAAATGATCTTTTTACCTCTTCCGATAGTAGTCCCAAGTCATTTTTATTGGTTTTTGAGGTGGTTTCGAAAGGTAAGTAAAAAACATTGTGGGTTTTAGATGTTTTGGAGTTTTGAAAGGATTAAGTTAGTAAAAAGTGATTTTCAATATTAGTCGGAGTTTTGAGTCTCGAAATGAAATTGTCAGCTCTATTAGTTCTAGAATGTGGAAATTGGTCTGGGAGAATTGCCAATTTCATATTTGGAGGGGTTTCGTGGATTTGAGGTCTTAAGTTGGAAGTTTGGGTGATTTGATCTTTGGATTGAGTTTACTCAACATTTGAACTTTGAACGATTGGGTCGGATTTCCGACAATTTCATTAGATTTCATTGACGATTTTATGCCTAAGAGAGCCAATGATAGAATTTTTTGAGGTCTTGATGTTAGTTTGTACATATTGAGAATTAAGTTAATTTATAACAACTTTCACGGTTTCTATAACAACCTTATTCCGTCTTTAGCGAAAAGCCATTGGAAAAAGAATCGGGGCCAAAAAACTTTTTTCGTAGTAATTTGAGATTTCCTAGCCTCGTCATGATTTGGAAGAAATCGGAGTAAGTGAATTCTAGGAATATCTGTTAACAAATAAGAGATTGATTAATTGTTTTGAATACATAAATGGGTAGCTATGATGTTAAGGAACTTGTACAATTTTGCTGAATTAAATTCGGGTGAGTAGAACTCCCGAAACTGAACTTAGCAAGGACAAATATTTTCTTAGTGTCATGGGATGAGGATCTATTATGAAAATGGGGATTTGAAATTCTTAAATCCGAAAAGGGTCAAAAATACCTTTGAACTATCTAAAATAGATCATATTTACCCTTAAAGTATATTTTGTCTCAAAACTTCATTCCCATCTAACTATTGGGTCCAAAGTGTCCTTTTTATTAATGGAAGTTGTTAAATGTCATGTGGATGCACATTGCATGTCAATAGGGTTCCACTGCCACATAAGGGGGGGGGGGGAGATAGAGAGAGAGAATACCCTTAAGGTATCAAACATAGCTCATATTTAAAACTACTGTTCTCGTCAAGCTATTGGGTCAAAAGAACCCTCCTTATTAGCGGAAGTTGTTAGTTGCCATGTGGATGCCACATTACATGCAAATAATGTTACAGTGACACACACTAAATCCTCAAATCCTAATTACTCTTCTCCCCTCATTTCATTATTTTCCAAAAATGATTTCACTCCTTCGCCCTCATTTCGCGGTTGGGGCTTTACATTTTTCTTCGTGGCTGAATTTCAAATTGGATATTCATGGTTGTATGTTAGTAAATATTTTTTTTAATTCTATTTTATTTAAGATTTCAAATCATGATAGTTATGATTTCATAAAGTTACCCTCATTTTGCTGCTAGGTTTTTATAGATTTCTTCGAGGCTGGGTTTCAAAGTGTATATTCGTGGTTGTAGGATAGTAAATATTTTTCTTCATTAATTATATTTACAATTTCAACGCATGATAGACAGGATTTTACAACATTTCCCTCATTTGGTGGAGAGGGTCAAAACTTTCTTCATGGAAGGTTTCAAGTTTATTTTCGTAGTTGTATGTTAGTAAATCTTTTTTCTTATTTGATTATGTTTATGATTTCAAAAAATGACATTTAGGATTTCACAAATTTCCTCTAATTTCGTGGCTAGGGTTTCATAGCTTTCTTCAGGGCTGGATTTCAAAGTTGATGTTCGTTGTTGTAAACAAAATAGAACTTAAAAACGATTTCCTAACCTGCAACCACGAATATCCATATTGAAATGTAGCGACGATGAAAACTTTGAAACCCTAGCCGCGAAATAAGGGAGAATGGGTGAAATCATTTTGGTCAAATAGTGAAATAAGGGAAAACAAAGATTAATAAAGACTTAGGGATTTAGTCTATGTGATAGTGGAACCCTATTGACATTTAATGTGACATCCACATGGCAATTAACAACTTTTGTTAATAAGGACACTTTTAATCCAATAGTTTGATGAAAAGGATAGTTTTTAGATGAAATATAGTCTAAGGATAAACATGAGCTACTTCGGATAGTTTAAGTCTACATTTGACCTAATTCCTTGTACTCTATGTGGAAGTGGAACCCTATTGGCGTTTAATGTGACATCCACATAACATTTAACAATTTCCATTAATAAGAAGGGAATTTTTACCCAATAGTTTGACGGGTAGGGTAGTTTTGAGACGAAATATAGTTTAACGGTAAATATGAGCTATCTAGATAGTTTGAGGGTATTTTTTTTACCCTTTTATGTTCTTAAATTTCTCATTGTTTTCGTGCAGGCCGTTGTTGTGGGTTGGGGCCGCCATATTGGAACGGACGTGACTTAAGTCATAAATAAAACTCCAATAATATTTTATTCTATACATTTTGACTTTGAGATTGTAGGAATGACACCAAGTGTGTTCTTGACGGTTTTTTACCATTTTGAGACTAAAGATAATGGCTTTATTCCTCAAATCAAT